AAATGTATATACATGTTTTTATTATTTTTTTTCTTTCTTTTCTTGTCTTTTTTTTTTCCCATATTTATTTTGTTTTCTATACATATACATATATACGTACATACATATACAAACATATGTCTATACTTATACATAGATACATACATACATGGATGTATATGTGGGTTGGGTGTGGGTTCATGTGGGTGTCTGTGTGTGGGTGTGGTGGGTGTGTGAAATTGTCATACATTTCTATCTTATTGTTTCATGTATATCACTTATATTAATAATTATATATATAACATTACATTTTAGCAATATTATACATTATCATCATGTTAGTTGGGTCACATATTTGCAATTATTTTTTTCTTTCTTTTCTCAATAACATTAATCACAATCATTATATTTATTTGTCAGAACTCTTACAAATTTCCATTCATATTATAGTTTATCATATAGATTAAGATATTTTATTATTTATGTTATCAATATTCACATTCAAAATTTGTATTTATATATATATATGGATTTTTGATATGTCATCTTTTAATGCACCTGTATCTAAAGGGAATATGTATATATTTTTGCATTGTTTTATTCTTTTATTTTTAATTATTTGTATATATCTATATATTTATTTTATTATTTTTACAATATTTTCCATTTTTAATTTTTTTATTACAATTATATGTTTTTTGCTTCTCATTTGTATTATTTATATTATTAGTACTTATTTATGCTTTTCTTATTATTTATTTGTATCTATATTATTTTCTCTATTAGTATTGCACATTCTTTTATCTATGTGATGTTTATATTATCATTATTTCTATTAACCATATAATGTTACTGTTCTTCTTTATCATTTGGTATGACGGATTTTTATTTCCTTTTCTTTTTCTTTTCTTTTCTTTGCTTTTATATATATACTTTTTTTTTTTTTTTGCATATGTATTTTTTACATTCTTATGTTCCAGTTACAATAATTTGTGATAGGTATAAAACAAATATTTATAATATTAATTTGTTTCTCATATTTCTATATTAGTGTTTCCATTATTGTATCTGTTTGTGCACATTTCTTTTATTTTTTTTTTTTTTCTAATTCTACAATTTTATATAGATAGCTATTCATATTATTATTATTGATAGCCACTCAATAAATATACAATATATATAAGAAAAACATTATATCGTTAAATTATTTTTATAACATTTCACAGCATTTGTAGGTTGTTCATATTTTATATTTTGTCTTATCTTTATATTTTTAGTAACCATTAAGTCATTAACATATCAACATGAGCAAAATTACTGTCAATTGTATGAGCTTTAACATCTATTCTATATCATTTTTAACATATTCTCATCCATTTGCAAGCAATATGTGGGTGGGTGGTGGTGGGTGGGTGGCTTGGTGTGTGTGCATGACTATATTTCTCCGAGTTACATGACCTTTTCATACAATATATCCTTTTATTGGTTTATTTCAATATATTTATGTTTTTTGTATATATGTTTATTTTATTTTCCACTTGTTGTTTCTCACAATATTTCCTTTGCCCAGCGTGCATATAGTGTCATTTGTATCATTTGTTGCAGATATGGCACAAATATATATATTTGCATAGGCATTGTTAGTGTATGCATGTTGACATGACTTTGATTGTGTTTTTGCATTTATTCCAATAAGTATATATTTGCTCATTTTAACTGATTTTCATGTTATATTTCTATTCTTCCAGATCATTATCATGAAGCTTGGCCTATGAGGTATGTTTATTTTCTATTTTATTTTCTATTTATCTTCATTAGAACTTTGATTGTATGATTTTCAATATTTTAATTTGTATGTATCTTTTGTTCAGATTTGTTCCATGTAATCATAATATATGTCATGTCATCAATACATTTTACACAGAACACAAGTTATAGGCTATGCCATCAATTTTTTTTTTTTTTTTTTTTTTTTTTTTTTTATATTTATTAACATACATTACCTCATTGTCTCTTCTTCTCTCATTCAAACTTTTTTTTTTTCTTTCCTTTTTCATTTATTATATCCATAAAATAAATATCATATATATCTATATCTATATATATATATATCTATATATATATATATATATATATATTATATTATGTATATTATTATTTTTATTTATATACATATTTATATGTATGTTGACATATATATATTTTGTATTTTTAATATATAATATATACATATATATATGATGTATATAAATATGTATGTATGCATATGAATATATATTATTATTTTTTTATTTCTATATACATACATACATACATACATACATACACACACACACACACACACACACACACACACACACACACACACACACACACACACACACATGTGAGTGTGGTGAGTGAGTGAGTGAGTGAGTGAGTGAGTGAGTGAGTGAGTGAGTGAGTGAGTGAGTGAGTAAGTAAGTAAGTAAGTAAGTAAGTAACTGTGACTGTGACTGTGTGCGTCTGTGTCTGTGCACCAACACGCATAGATAATCATACAGAGTGATATATTTGTTTTGGTGCACAAATACATATGTAATCTAAAGTTATAAAGGTTTTTGATCATTATGATTCTTCATTTTAAGTAAGTGTGGTAAGAGAAGCTGTTACTTCGCTGTATGAATGCACACGACACGTGTGAGGTCATGTTATGTTGACATAGCAAACATTGTCGCTTCTGCTCCCCACCCGTTATCTCTCGCTGCTCATGCCTATTCACTTTTCTCTCCTTTTTATCCATTTGGTTCTCTCCCCTTTATCTCATCATGCACGTTGACTTCCATTTCCTTGTTATTCAAAAGTAGTAAGGAGGATATGTTGGGTTAGCTTGAGGTACAGAAAATATGAAAAGTGGATGTCGTGCCAAAACCAACACAACACTCAACCCTCACTCATCCACCACCACCACCACCACCACCACCACCACCACCCACCACCCACACCACCACCACCACCACCACCCCCACCACCCCACCACCACCCCACCACCACCCACACCCACACCCACACCCCCACCCCCCCCCACCCCAACCCCACCCAAATCCTTTCCAGTGCTTGCGTTATTCATTTACATTCTCGATGTCGCCGCGGAAATTTTTTCGTGTAGTGTCTCTGCGATGATTTAAAACCTTTGTAACGGTCATTTTCACTGGACGGGACGAGTATCAAAAATTTCGAACGAGGCATTGGACGGACATCTTTGTGAAGGTTAGTACATGTATTTTATGTTATCAATAATATTTGCTCTCTCCTCCTCTCCTCTCCTCTCCTCTCCTCCCCTCCCCTCCCCTCCCTCCCCTCTCCCTCTCCCTCTCCCTCTCCTCTTCTATATGTATGTTCAGCTATATTTTTATGGTTTTGCTTGTTTATAGACATATACTATGGTATATTTTATACACGGTGTGTGATGATTACGATTGTTTACGTATAGTAGGTGCATTTATTACTCTAAATAGGATTAGGTTAGGTTAGCAGCACACCGAAAGTGTGAGGTCTTGTTATGTTGACATAACAAAATCAGACCCCCCCCCCCTTTCCCCTCCCCATCATCTCTCGCTGCTCTTGCTACCCGGCCTATTCCCCCTTCTCTCTTTTTTATCCTTTTTTCATTCCCTCTATTTATCTCGACATGCTCCTCTTCTTCCTTTGCCTCACATTTCATCTTTCAATTACTCCCAAAATAACTAAAAACTTGCAAATTATAAAATTATATATTTCTTCTGCAAAATCAATGACGATAAAACAGTCTGTTAATCACCACCACCCTAAATCCTTCCTTCCCACTGTTTGTGTTACCTCTCGCGGAAGCTCTAGTCCTCCATTTGCATTCCAACTGTCGTCGCGTCAACATATCCTGCTGTACAGTGCTTCTGATACAGACCGTTTGCATTATTTTTGTGTGTGTATTGTGAATAACTTGAATTAGGCTCTTTTGTGTGTTTGTTATGACACAGTGACGGCAAAATGAAAATACATCAAGGACTTATATATAACAACGCATTTCACGGACGATTTTGTTGAATTTCGAAGGAAGCACTGGAAGGACTTAATTTTTAAGGTTAGTACATGTTATAAATTACTGTATTATTGTATCATAGTTAATAATATTATTATTATTATTTATTGTTATATTTTATATGTTTTTTTTTCATATTATATAGATATATATTTGTATAATTTTTAATCGTTATATCTCTTTGTTATTTATCGATTATTACACATAGCTTATTACGTACAAGTGTTGTTGTTTTTTTTTTTTCATGTACTGGGTGATTGATTGTCATGTTATGCCGCAAAGACGAACGCAATATATTTGTTTCGATACAAAATATACTTGCTATTGTCTTGTGATTAATAAATTATAATAAAAATACATATATTACTCTTTGACAACATGTGACGATTAATTTTATATATATGAAAGGAAATATATATATATATATATATATATATACACTTGTACATAGGCCTACGCAGTACGATTCAAAGTAACAACATTAATGATATTATATTTGGTGTTCATGATAAATGTTTACAAATGTTCATCGCATCTTTGAATGAGACAAATCGTTTTTATTTCGTAGTATGTTATTATAATACGGCTTACAAACAACTGTTTTTAATATGCGCATAGGGGTGAGTAAAGGATATTTTTATTGAGATTTTAATATATAGTTATTTATCAATCTATACCTAATATTTGTTATTATATAAAAGGTCATACCCATTGTATACTTAGTCAGTCATTGTATAAACGCTTTTATGGGTTTTTGTAATTCACTTTACCCCCACTCTCCCCCTCCAATACTATCGGTCGCGTGCCCTCCTCCTATCCCGGAACGTCAGACTTGTCATTTATTTTTCTTTTTTCACGTGAACACGTGGGCAGTGCGGTGGGACACTTGCAAAGCGCTTTCAGTATATAATAACATGTGTTTTGTTTTCATAGTGGTGCACGTTTTGTATACATTTGTTAGCAA